AGGTAGAATCTAAGACTAAGATGTCATCACGGCCCTCAGATAACACGGAGACATGAGGGGAGGGACGTGTGGACACAGCGAAACTGGACCCTTTGGTCAGAGCATCGCATGTCTTCCTGCTGTCCACGAAGCTGGCGATGGACTGGCTCGCAAGGGAAGCCTCATTCAATTCTCCCCCCGATGCCCCAGACTCGCTCACACCACATCTGCCGATGAAAACATCATGGAACTAGAGATCCGTGACTCAAGCGTGTGGTACCGAGAGGGTCATCGATCGGGTGGATGAGATGGGGTAAGAATCGGGGATGGTGGGTGGGGGGAGCTTAAGACTGGTGAGTTGCTTCTGAGGGAATGGGGGTTGGCTGGGGAGACCAGGAGGGCTGGCAGGCAGTGAGGCGGGCCCAGCTGGGGCTGGCGACCACGAGCGTGTAGTGGCATCTAAGCCGCGTCCCACCGGTGGTCGGAGGCGTGCAGAGGATGCCGCTGTTGAAAAGACGAGAGGGTGAGGACGTTTAAGCCTCTGAGGAGGAGGAGTCGGTCACATCTGGAGGGCCTTGCTTTTTTTTTTTAACTTTTTATCTTGATGTGATCTCGATATTATAGAAAAATTTCAAGAATAGCACAAGGAACACGGTGTGTACTGCCGACCCGACCCGTCGTTCACGCCACTCCATTTGGTTTATCGTTCCCGCTGTTAGACATTTTCCTGCGTGTGGGCGCAGTTTTTCCTGAGCCGTCTGAGTTGGAATGGTGGTTCTCATTTACTCCTAAATACTTCGGCGTGTCTTTCGCGAGAACAAGGTCGTTCTGTTTCACGCGCAGGAGACGGTCATCCACGGTCAGGAAGTGTCGCATCGTCCTGATGCTCACGTCGAGGCCAGATTCAGATGTCACCCGTCGAGCCACCGATGGCCTCAGACCTTCTTTCTTAAACAAAGAGGCGTTAACGTCGTAACCAGCCAACTTCATCTCGCTGTTCTTTTGACATTGCCCTGATGTGTGCGTCGTATTTGACAGATGCACGTGCTATAGATTATTTACTCCTCCCCCTGTTGACGGGCACTCAGGGCACGTCCTACTTCTTGTCATTGTCACACGTCACCGAACGTGGGCGGGCGTTGCTTGGAATAACTGTTCTGAGGACACACAGGTGACGCCTCTGGTGTACCTTCGTGGAGAGACATAAAGGCGTGAAACCAGCACAACTCAGATTCGTCCATTAGATCGTTGAGTTTGGGGCAGGGAGGGGCGACCAGGCCAGTTCTCGGTGAAGGACAATTCCGAGGACAAGCGTGAACGTCGGCGCTTCTTCCCGTGGGGCACCGTCG